TTGTCTGCACAGCTCAGTAGAAGGCCATTGTCCCTCCCTTACATTGCTCTCATGGTTTTGATATTTAGCTCAGAATCCAGATATAATGGCCTAAAATCTGGAACATCTAGATCAAACCTGGAGATGGATAACCCTGAAAAAAGTCGCTAGCCTCCAGCCATTCACTAAATTGAAATCAAACCACATGTAAAGTATGCAGTTTCAGAATCCAACCAGAACTTCAGGTAGGGAATTGAGTAAGGGATAAAAATACACATGCACACAGAAACATATACATGCATACATACACCACATTGTTGCAGTGTCCAATACAAATAGAAGAACAATTATGCTTATTATGATGATAAAAGATAAAATTCTGGAAACTTAGGTTGTTCAGTCTGAATGATTTTACAAATTAATGCTCTCCTATTTCTGTCTTGTCGTTCATTTCACTAGCTCAGGATCTTATTTTGCTAGAGAGAAATGGCATATTTTCTCCCACATAGCTCATGAAACAAAAGCTCCTTTGGTACAGATTAGTTTGCTTAACATCACATACTCAAACGGCTTATTGGGTTTAATCTATTTCCCAGATTTGCAAAATGCACTGAATCATAAACTAACCAAACCACTTTCTGGATTAACACAACATAAACCCACATCACAGTAAGCCAGGCTAACCTTTTCCAGATTAACGAGGGGGAGCAAGTGGTGTGAATGAAGTTGTTAAATGACTGGATTAAATGTGCAGTGTAAAGTGAGCCAGTTGCATATATTATACCAAAAGCAGACATATAAACTTCTGTATATGTAGAATGTGGGTTGACATAGTGAAAAATTCAATGCAACATTAAACTTAACTACCACACCCCCAGGCAGAGCACAACAATTCAGACATTCAACAGGGCTAAGGGATAGACTGGGGCATCCACAGAGGGATTTCTAAAAAGGTCAAGCTGTATTAGATGTAAGCAACCAAAACCACTAATGAATAATCTTAAACAGCAGCTTCATTGTTAGTCACCTATGTTACAAGAATCTCTCCAGACTAACTTCATTCCCTTGAGAATGGTCAGATAAGACCAGGGATTCTTGGGTAAACTTTCAGTGATGCAAGGATTCTAAGCTAAATCCTTTTTTAATACTTCCCTCCAGTCTAGCTAGAGATTCCACACAAAATGGTAACCACAACAATGAGTCCCTGCTCTTTTGTACATCTCTTTGTAAAACACTCCTCTTTGTACAAAATGAGAAGGGCTTCAGTTTACCTTGAACTTCACAAAAGTTGCAAGATAAGTACCCTAAACAAAGCCTTCATTTAATTCGACGAAGTATTATTTTTCAATAACCAACTTTTTTAAAAAAAAATTCCATAATTGAATAATTCAAACAAGTTGACCTACATCAAATTCAGCAACCTGTGATTTAGCCTCAGAAACATTTATATTAAAAAAAAAAAACAGTGAGGTTTTATTCTCATACAGCCAGTGAGAAACAAGATGACAGCAAATCTGAAGGTTATAAAACAAAGGACAGAGGAAAAACAGATCAGCAAATAAACCACTGTGTAGGGGAGGTAATGTTTCTCAACATTAAGAAAACTAAGATCATGGCATCCAACCCTCTCAATTCCTGGCAAATAGATAGGGAAGAAATGGAGGTAGTGACAGATTTTATTTTCCTTGGCTCCAAGATCACCGCAGATGGGGACTGCAGGCAAGATATTAAAAGACGCTTGCTCCTGGGGAGGAAAGCTATGGCAAATCTAGACAGCATACTAAAAAGCAGAGACATCACCCTGCCAACAAAAGTGCGTATAGTCAAGGCTATGGTTTTCCCAGTTGCAATGGATGGCTGTGAAAGTTGGACCATAAGGAAAGCTGAGCGCCAAAGAATTGAGGCCTTTGAACTCTGGTGCTGGAGAAGACTCCTGGGAGTCCCTTGGACTGCAAGGGATCAAACAGTCAGTGCTAGAAGAGATCAACCCTGACTGCTCTTTAGAAGGCCAGATCCTGAAGATGAAACTCAAATATTTTGGCCACCTAATGAGAAGGAAGGACTCACTGGAGAAGAGCCTAATGCTGGGAAAGACTGAGGGCAAAAGAAGAAGGGGACGACAGAGAAGGAGGTGGCTGGATGGAGTCACTGAAGCAGTAGGCGTGAGCTTAAATGGTCTCCAGAGGATAGTAGAGGATAGGAAGGCCTGGAAGAACGTTGTCCATGGGGTTGTGATGGGATGGGCATGACTTCGCAACTAACAACAACAACAACAACAACAACAATAACAGGATAGGTAGGAAAACAAACTGCAAGACAGTTTTTTTTTAATAGCATGTGTTCTTGAATTACAGTAGTTGCTGAAATCTTTGATGATGCTTCCTACTTTATTCAATAAAGATTATTTATCTGCAGTCCCCGAGTTTCTTCTGAATAGTCCTAAGGGATTTATTTCTGCCTATGAGATGAAACTTTATATCTAGAGATATTGCTATGAAGATTCACTCACGAATGTTCAATAAATCTTGGCACTGTTTAATCAATGCATTCTCTACCCAACCTATTGTTGAGTGGCTATGTTCACAAACACACTTAACCTGATCACTGAATAAATCCATTCCTGAAATTGCACAATACATTTTAGCACTATAGCTAAGCAAATAGGATGGGACTGCACAGCACGCTTGACAAAGATACATCTTCCAAGTTAACGCTAATCAAATCAATATTGTGTGGCTGTTCCAAGCAGATCTTTAATGGACTTGGTTAAATGCATTTTTTGTAAACACAGCCTAATTTCCTCCATAAAAGACCAACTTTATCTTTGCAAAACGTACTTCTGGAAAAAGAACAATTATCAAACAATAAAATTAATGCAAAAAGCCAATAAATAAGCCATTAAGTAGAAATATTCAGTGGCAAATAAATTGATAGAACTCATTTGCCTATATACTGTATACAGTGATGCTTAGAAGTTTGTGAATCCTTTTGAATTTTCAATGTTTTGCAAGTGGAATAAGGGTCTTATGCTGGAATAGTCTTTGCTTCACTTCTCATCCAATCCAAAATGTTCTATTTTGGACTCATTGGTTCACAGAACATTGTTCCAATATCCTTCTGGCATATCTACGTGATCTTTTGGAAATCATAGATGAGACACAATCTTCTTTTTGGAGAACAGTGGCTTTCTCTCTGCCACCTGGCCCTTCAGACTATTATTGTTCAGTGTCTTACTAATGGTGGTCTCATGAATACTGACATTCACCAATGTCAGAGAAGCCTTAAGCTTTTATAGATATTACTTTTCTTTGAGACCTCCTGGATTATTATATGTCTTGGTCTTGGTATGGTTATATTCCATCAGTCCTGGGAATGGGAGTGTCAGGGTTCCAAGTAACACCCCCAACTAAAAAAGACTCCGAGGCTTGAATTTCCTCAAAGTTCCATTTTATTGAAGATGTCATATTGGCACATCTGGGAAAACCCAAATCTGAAAGTTTCCAGGTTTTCCCCACCCAAGTGAAAGTTCAAGCCTTGCCCAACACCCACATGTCCAATACATGGTCCAATCATCCACCGTCCAAATTGAAGATACCTCCCAGTCATCTGACTCCAGGTGCCAGGGCAAGGTGTCCTTGACTCTCTGAGAAAGGAATGTTACTTTGATTACATATCATCCATACTCTATACAATCCCCCCTCCTACTTTCCCACAGTAATGTGGCAGGCCTGAAGGCCCAAATGCAAAAGATGGCTTCCAAGTCTGACAGGGAGTCTAATAATGTATTGAATTGTCTCCATTTATATACAATTATGCCTGACAGTGAACTGGTGAAATCCAATTCTTTGGAAATGCTTGTGTAATCTCCTTTGGTTGAACTGTGACTTACTTCCACATATTTGGGTTGTAAAAACCAAACTTTGATCATGAATATCCAAAATTCTGTTCTTTAAACAAGGCAGGATCTCCCATACTCACACCTGTTCATTATTCCCTTTTTTTTTTTTAATTTGATTTATATGCCGCCCTTCTCCGGAGACTCAGGGCAGTTTACAGTGCATTCAGCAATAGCCTTCATACTTTTGTATATTTATACAAAGTCAGCTTATTGCCCCCACAAACTACCTTATTTAACCTACCTTAGAAAGGATGGAAGGCTGAGTCAACCTTGAGCCTTGGAGAGATTTGAACCAGCAGTAAATTGCAGGCAGCTGTGTTAATAACAGGGTGCTTTAAACCACTGTAGTACCAAGGCTTGATTGTAACACCTGACTCTAATTTCCCGTTCAGATGAAATGATAATCCTAGAGGTTTACATACTTTTATCGTGCATAAATATGTAGCTTTGGATCAATTTCTTCAAAAAAATAAATGAGCAAATAAAATATTTTTGGTTCATTTGTTTAATTGGGTTCCCTTTATCTACTTTTAACACTTGCGCAGAGAGCAGATCATATTTGAAGTCATATTTATGTAGAAATATTGAAAATTCAAAAGGATTCACAAACTTCTACACCACCTACAGATAGTCAACAGGTCATTTCTATTGATGTATATTCTCACAATGTGAAAAAATATATTGCTGGAGAAAATGAAACATTATTAATCATCCAATGCATGATAAACATACGATGGCTATATGTCATCTTCCACTGGTGATCATTTCTGTCCACGGATTTGGTTAGAAATTTTGAAATCACCCCTTAAGCTACGATTAAAAAGTGATGAGAAAAAGATACATCCCTCAGCGAAAGACATATTATCAGACTTTGGACCCAACGTGGCTGTTAAGTCTTGCTTCTCCCTATTCTGAATCCCTTATTTTTGGCAGAAGATTCATACTCCAATCTACCTTATAGAGGTGTTGCTGTAGGGATAAAATGAAAAATACCTCCACAGAGATATTTTTCCTCATTTTCCTTGAGCCCCTATAGAACAGGTGAAAGATAAACACAGCAATAAATAAAACAAGATATTTTTGACAGTATCATCCAACTAAAAAGGAGAAACATAGTATTTACCTGAAAATGTGTGCAAGGTCTTTTGCTTCAATACCTTTAAGAATATCCTGAATAATGGCAGGGTTACTGGCTTCTGAAGATGCTGGTAAAGATGGGCATTGTGCATGTCCATAGTAGCCTATCAAAACCCCCAAAATAAATAAACTTGTAGCAGTGCAAAATATCTTAAATATCCAGCAAAAGCTGCAGCAATTGGTCTTTGGTGGATGCTGTATCTGGTGAGAAATATAATCCAGATCTTCCTGGAGTCTTTCAAACCTTCCTTTGGGAGATGCTGATGGTTGAATGGACTCCAAGTCAGCGTTTTGACTACTCTCCATTGGTTGATGGATTGCTCCATCCAAAGTAAAATGGTCAAAGCTTAGCTCCTCCAGTTCTTTCTCCATGTCCCATTCTAACTCCAGGGAAGTGGCTTGAAGGTCTTCACTATCTAAATAGTGTGCATTCTGATCTCCGTGGACTTTTTGGTAAGCCATCCTTTTACCTGTTGCATTAAATATGTATAATTATAAGGTCTGCAAATTAAGATGAAAGCTTGAAGAAGCGTGATATATTCAGCCTTGAGAAGAAAAGACCAAGGAAGAAGAATAGGATCGCCATGTTCAAATGCCTGGAAAAAATGACACAGACAAAGGTCAAAAATAATAATAATAATAATAATAATAATAATAATAATAATAATAATAATAATAATATACTACAAGAAAGCAGATTTTGGCTGGGGTAAAGAAAAAAAAACTTCCTAAGTAAAAGAGCAATTTATTTACTCATCAGCTACCCATTTCACAAACATAACTCTAGGTGGCATCCAATAAAACTAGTTAAAACAAATAAAAATAGTCATTAAAAATTAAATATATCAATTAAGTTACATACATACCGTATTTTTTGCAGTATAAGACACACCTCCCCCCCCCCCAAAAGAGGCTGAAAATTTGGGTGTGTCTTATACTCCAAATGTAGCTTTTTCGAAGCTTTTTTTTAGCCCTAATGAGGTGCTAACGAGGCACTAGTGAGTGATCTTATCAGCTTTGCTTTGATCTCCGTGCTTTGCTCCGACTCTCAACTGTTCTTTAGAAGCTTTTTTTCAGCCCTAACTAGGCACTAGCCTAGTGAAGCGATCTTCCCCAGTGTTTTGCCTGCTTTTCTCATTGCTGCTTCCTCTCAGCTGTGCCTAAGAAGCTGTTTTTTAATCCCCAAGCAGGGGATAAAAAACCAGCAAACGAATGTGCTGAAGCTGACCAGACTAAGGACCCTAGCCAGATGAATACCTGATAGGCAGATTTTTTCCCCCCTATTTTCCTCCCCAAAAACTAAGCTGTGTCTTATACTCCAGTGCGTCTTATATTCCAAAAATTATGGTACATACATACATACATATATACATACATATCAATATAAATAAATAAATTACAGGGATTGAATATATCTAGTCTAATGAAAAGAAGGATTAGGGGAGACATGATAGCAGTGTCCAATATCTGAGAGGCTCCTATAAAGATGAGTGGGTCAACTTATTTTCCAAAGCACCAGAAAGCAAGATAAGAAACAATGTATGGAAACTAACCATGGAGAGAAGCAGCCCAAAACTAAGGAGAAAATTCCTAATGGTTAGAGCAATCAACCAATGGAACAGCTTTCCTTTAGACGTTGTGGGTACTCCATCACTGGAGACGTTCAAATAGAGACTGGCCAACCATTTGTCTGAAATGGTATAGGCCACCGATGGCTAACCTTTTCCGGACCAAGTGCCCAAAGCACGCATATGCTTAAACCCCCAAAATGCAATGCACATGTGGGCCCTGCACATGCACGCATGGCCCCCGCATGTGCCATGCCCCCCATGCATTCACGTGTGGCCCCCACATGTGCCCCACCCCCACATATGTGCAGCAGAGACCCAAAGACCAGCTGGCTGGCGGGACGCATATGCGCAAGGTCTCTTCCAATTCTATTATTCTATGTTCTAAATATTAATACCTAGTGGTATTAATGGGCCTGGTGGCTCAGCAGACTGATAGCATTGTGATTAACACCAGCTGTCTGCAATTACTGTAAATTTGAATCTCACCAGACTCAAGGTTGACTCAGCCTTCCATTCTTTCTAAGGTAGGTAAATTGAGGACCCAGTTTGTGGGGGCAATAAGCTGACTTTGTATAAATATACAAAAGTATGAGGCTATTGCTTAACGCATTGTTAGCCGCCCTGATACAATTAATATTGTTAACATAAAATTTATAAAATTATAAATGTATAAAGACAAATGAATAAAAGTAAGTTAAGTGGAGGTATCAATTACTCAGGGATTTGGGTAGGTGGATGTGTTAAAACAGAATATTTGTGTAATTAATTGTTGGGATGATAATAATTTGGATTCTCCAATGGAGCAGACTTTAGAATGGATGGTCAAAATGGGTCTTCCTCCCCTAAGATGCTAAATGTCAATGACAATGTTTCCTTTCATATCTGAGTCATCGCAGGTAGCAAAATAGGCAGCATAAAATTTAATAAATAAATAAAACACTGGAAGATGAATATAACCCTTTTTTAAAAAAAAAAAAATCCTTAATGTGCTGGTGGAATATAACCACCACTAAGAGATATGCGTCAGGATCATTTCCTGAATGGTTGGATTTAGGAGTGGGTTCTATTTACCTTTACTACCGGTTTGCAGTGGGGCTGTGCATGTGCGCTCGCTCCGCTCGTGCGTGTGCGTGCTCTTCTGCGCATGCACAGAAGCATTTTGATGATGTCGGGGTTGGTGGGCGGCACCTCCCGCCGGTTTTACTACCATATAGAACCGGTGTCTGGAAACACCCAATTACTTTATTATAACCATTCGCTAATTCAGATATCAACCAGTTCACTTCTGCTATTATTGTGACCAGTAATGTAATTCCACCTATTTTTCTTATTTACTGAACTAACCAACCATTGTTTTCTTTCCTTCTTGGTCCATTTCTTTTTAATGTCAAAAGAGAAATACTGCTTTGAAATGAACTTGACTCCTTATGACTAACTGAGGATATCCATATATATTCATAAAATAGAAGGAGGAGGAGGAGGAGGAATATTGTACTGGTAAAAATAAACAATGTTATTAAGGCATCTACAAAGTAAGAAATACTGTCTTAAGATAGAAATTCAATAGAAATGGAATTTCAGAATGATATTCCTTTATCTTCAATTCCTCAATAAAATGCTGTCTTCTGGGTTTGGTTTGGTTTGGTTTGGTTTGGTTCGCTTCACTTCGCTTTGTTTGAGGTCTACTGTCGATGTCACCCCATTCCTAAGAGGTCCTTAATTTATTTTATTTTATTTTATTTCATTTTATTTATTTTGTAACCTGAACATATGGTTCCTCCTGACTGATCAATACACCTGAAATTTATTCTACAGATCTGACTTTTGGGAGGTTCATACTTTTTCCTCTTCTTTCATCTGCCTCCTATTTTAGTTGTATCAGAATCATGTTGGCAACTTGAATTATGAATCATGAATTAATTAGGGCATCTTTCGGAAACTTGACACATGTCTCAGCTGGTATTCTTCACAAAAATGGCTTCTATAATGACAAAGTGGAAGGGGTGGCAGTTCTAGCCCGTTTCTATCTGAATAGAAATGCCCTCAAAGTAGAACTCTAACCTCTAATCTAAACATTTAAAATCAATTCTCGACAAATCATTTCTAAACTGACTTCAGGGACGAGGCTTCGTTCTCATTCATAGTTTTGACTATAGAGATTCCATCACATAAGCAGTGGCAATTTAACGCTTTTCAAGCAGCAGACCGACCCATCAATTAGAATGTAATGCAGATACAGATATTAACTCCTCAAAGTGACGCTTATCTGAATGACACCTGCAACACAGTCTCCATCTCCTTCTTGTAACCTAGTAATATGTTTTCCTCATCCAAGATCCATCTTCCAGATAGCTTCATGAACTAGATAAACTTAGTTAGATGCCAACGGCAGAGAAAGGGAGGAGAAAGGAAGGATTAAATGTGTACCAAAAAAATAAACACTAACCAAAATGAAGATAGAAAAAAGCACCCAAAACCATCTCGATACATAGCACTTAATGGGACAATTGAAATTCTTTACAAAGAATTCAGTATTTCAAAATCTGTGTCCTAAACCACACAAAGAAGGAATAGAGGTGACATGATAACAGTGCTCCAATATCTCAGGGGCTGCCACAAAGAAGAGGGAGTCAAGCTATTCTCCAAAGCATCTGAAGGCAAGAGAAGAAGCAATGGGTGGAAACTCCTCTTCAAGGAGAGAAGCAACCTAGAACTAAGGAGAAATTTCCTGACAGTTAGAACAATTAATCAGTGGAACAACTTGCCTCCAGAAGTTGTGAATGTTCCAACACTGGAAGTTTTTAAGAAGATGTTGGATAACATTTGTCTGAAGTGGTGTAGGGTTTCCTGCCTAAGCAGGGGGTTGGACTAGAAGACCTCCAAGGTCCTTTCCAACTCTGTTGTTCTATTCTAATACACATACACAACAACTGAACAGATTTACAGATTTGCCACCAGCAAAATCATCATTGTTTCAGGTCCAAAGTGGTTTATAGAATTGCAGGCAAACTGTGCTCAATCCTTCCGAGATCAGTAAAATGAGGTTTCAGATTGTTGGGGGCAATATTCAAATAATGCTTACATTGTAAACCACCCAAAGAGTGCTGTAAAACATTATGGAGCAGTATATAAGCCTAAACACTATTGGTATTACTCTATTCTCAGTTTTATGTAATACCATAGTGTTGGGGTTTCCTTTTCTCTTTCCACATATTTTGTTTTTGAACATTTTTCACTTTCACTGAGAGTGATTCTTGGTAGTTTAGGTTTTGCCATTATTATTATTATTATTATTATTATTATTATTATTATTATTATTGTCATTGTTAGATTGTTCTCTTGAATTTGTTTTCTCTTTTTTTATGTATATGACTGTAAACTGGTCTGGGACCTCTTTAGAGTTGAATTTATGAAAAAAGAGTTTTACTACTTCCCAATTTTGCAGTGCATGGATGCTTAAGAGTGCATGCTATAGTAAATGCAAGGCTGACATGAAAACTTCTAAATTGCCTCTTTTATCAGAGCCAGAAGCAAAAAAAAATCAGTATTCTATAACAGCTGCCTTCAGATCTCCACACATTAAATAGAAAGCAACATATAAAATCAAATGGTGTAAATGTAGATGCTAAGTGAAACAAAATAAATAAACATAAATTAGCAGGGCCAAATGTGGGACATATATAATTGCTTTAAGGAAAATTTTGGGGACTAGGGTGTACTCAAATCAGTAATGTTTACCAATCTATCCATGCAAGCATTTCATAAAAATTATATTAAATTCCATGAAATGGTTGTTAGCCTGAATTAACAATAACCTTTTTTAAAAATTCGATAGCTTTTCCAAATCGGATCAAGATTTCCTCAACAGTTCTTATTTCCACTAGCAAAACTTGTCATTAACAAAAGCTTTTTCAGAAAGCTTTTTCAGATAGATGCCTGCATTAAGAATTGGCAGAATACCTCTAATGTTGTTGAGTTTTCCAAAAATTCTCATTGCCTTAACTTCCATGGATATTTTACACTGA